GCTGTCCGTCTGCATGCTGTCATACACTGAAGTGTCCCTTAAGACTCTTAGACCAGTTGAGCTACCAGCAAGGCAATGCTAGCGGCAAGAAAGGAGAAAAGGACTGGAGGAAATGAAGCAGCCTGTGGGCTAGGCTAAAGGCTAAACTGTTTAAACAAGCAATGTCATAGCATAAACTCTGGCTTGGCTGTCAACACAATATGCAAAAGTAGAGCAGAGAACATGTCATTTTGTGTCACCATCATCATGGATACTTTGCCTAGGGACACCATCCTGGGCAGAGTAGTGTTGCTAACGCTAATGCTATTGCTCTACATCAAGAAGATCAAGGGATTGTGTTTCCTCACCACAACGTGTAGGATGTTTTTATGTAATTCTTAGTCAGGCTTGACCTCTGAGTGACTTTTACAACACTTGGGTCACTTGTTCTTGGATCTGGGTCTTTGTTGGTTGTTAATTTTGTAATATATTATTTGATTTTATATTTTAACTGTATCTTCCATGTTTTGAGAAGCGATACAGCTGAATGTATCCTATTCCATTGCTTGGTTCCAGGTGCCTCACTTAGGACCTGGAATGAAACCAACAAACAGGAATGTTGCCAGATATCACACAATGGAGGATTCTTAACAGACCATCACTCTGTCACAAACGCCTGCTTCTGATCTGCTTTTGTTCCTTCATCTTCATTTGTCACCATATTTACATCAGTAAAGGATACAAAACCCTGACTTTTGTCTGAGGGAACAGTGATTTACAATAATTTACATTAGCAAAAGCCCAATTTTACCATTACAATAACCTCAAACAATGGTGATATAGCCGTCTTTTTCAGTTTTTGCACCATTTGAACAGAGAACCACACGCTTTCATTGTTCTTGGTAAAATGTGCCTCAGACGTAATCATCTCCTGCTGCACTCGGTGTATTAGATAATGAGAAGATGTTGATAAGTTCCTCAATACAATCTGCTCCACGTTGGCTAATCCACGGCTTTTAGTTTAGTGAGAATCACAATGATGTTTTATTATTGCTTATTCAGAGCACAACAATGATTTAAACTTTGACTGTAATGGTACAAACACACAGTCTCAGATCACTGTTCCACGTAAGAGGATGACTGATCTACTCAGCTGCAACTGTGTCTTGCTGCATGTAGGCAGATGATTGTACATCTGGGAAAAAGCAGGAGTAGATGCTGCTCATAGATCGGCTGTATGTGTGTAGCATTGAATCAGAAAGGTTCTTAGTAGGTTTGTAAGATTTACCGGCTCATTACTTTTTACTATTTTTTATAACTGGTTTTAAACATTGTGTTTTATATTTTGCTTCTACAAACCAAACAAAAATACCCTATGTAATGTCAATATAAGAGTCAAGCCACATATTTACTAATGAAAGACCTCTTTTAGAAAGTGAATATATATATATATATATATATATTTCTCCTTTCTCCTTACCAAATTGAACAAGCCGTTACATGTCTGACTATACAACCAGGGATGAATCAGGACTAACACCTGGATATCAGGAAGCTTTAGTATACGTGGTTATTTCCTGAGGGTCTTCAGAAGTCAGAACATCCACTCTTCAGCTCATCCATGTCTTAACTGTCTGCCAACCAAGTTATTGAATTTCAATGACCCCTCGGGCTCTTAATGAGAAGCAGGCCTACATCTTCACGATACAGCGTGCACCACGCCGCCTCCCATTTCTGCGACTGGCTTTAATAAATTACTGTCCAATAAGAACTTTTATGATCTTGGCATATGTTGCTTTTTATAGGATAAAATAATTGCGTTTCCTGATCACGCTGCCCATTGTTAATATGAGAATGAGAGTAGCAGGGCCTACAAAGTGAGATAGTTTCACAGTGTCTGCACATGTCCTTCTCATTTAGGTTGTTAACCCCACCCCACTGCCCCCCCACCCCCCCCCAACTCTCTTTTTTGTTTCTCATTTCTTGGCATACCTTCAAAACCACCATCCCCCACTTTGACCACTCTTACCTCCACTCATGCCCAGAGAGGCGCCTACTATTGCATGACATTGGGCACTCTCCGAAACCCACAGCACCATCCCCCAGTCGACTTCATACAAACACATACTGAGGGTCTTGTTTTTGAGTTCCCATTGAAGTGTGACAGAAGCCACTTGACAGGTGACACACACACTTGATGTTATCAGGTCAAGGCTAGAGATTCAGCCTCTTGAATGATGAGAAACTGTCACTCTCATTGTTTATCTGTGCTGCAGAAGGGGAGAGTGGGGCCACGGCACAGACAAAGTCAGGACTTCTTCCTGCCTTTGTGATATATCATTCAAGGGAGAAGAGGAGAGGAAAGAAGACAGAAACTCTTCTGGTCTAAAAGTGAATTTATCAAGCTTTTGGCAATGTAAACTAAAAAAGCTTTGGTATAAATACAGCAATTATACACACAAATATATGGATCCCTGCTATAACAACAAAAGGAAACAAGGACCCACAGAGGCATGAAAGTGAAAAGCTCTTCAATCATTTGGAGAAATGTGCTGGAGTTGGCTTACAAATTGATGTGTCTTTGTTATTGGCATTGTCAATTGATTCCACAGAAGGCGTTAATGAAATAACTAATTGAATGTGTTCAGTAGTAAACAATTTGTTTGTGTCCAAACAAACAGCCATGTGTTGCCTCATTCCACAACAGTGTACGTGGCTTTTAATAACTTTTTATTCCCAAAACTCTATTCCTGTTTTTCTTTTTTAAGACTCAAGTTAACTGTTAGGCACATGTAGAATCCATCATTTTGGCTCCGTTTCACACAGCCCAGAGAGACTCCATGATTGTTTTTCAATACAATAGATAAATGTAACGATAACCTTAATTTCTGTATCACACAGGAATGATGCAGTTTGTCAGATAAAGGTTCAGCACACAACACGTCTTGTTACAATAATTATTTATTAAATTTAAAATATCTTTAGCACAGGTTAAAAATTAGACACTTCAATCTACAATGAGCGCCTTGGGATTGAACGTGGTTCCAACATGGTTAAAAATAAACACCCATAGAAACCAAAGAGATTTTTTTTTTTCTCCTTCTTCATCCATCTGTCTTCATAAAATGTTCCATTGCAGTTGCTAGGGCAGAGGCAAATTTGGCATGGAGATAATCGTATTCACTGAACGCATAATGCAATGTATCACAAATTATCGCAAGTCATTATTAGAATCCAAAAATCTCCCTCAAAGCTTGAGGAAATTTTAGAATGAAAAGAAACTGCTTGGTTCGGCTGCAATTGTTTTTTTAGTTATGTTTCAAAAAAGTGTGCAATATTGAAATGACAGCACATTTTAAAGCTGGTGATGCTTCATTTGTTTTGTTTTTTTATGTGATAACACAAATGACGCAGTGCTTTTTGTTGCTTTTAAGCTAAAACGTTATGTTGTAGTTTTATCGTCCATGTTGGACACTGTAGAAATTTGCATGTCAACGTGCAGGGATAAAAAAAAAGAAAAAAAAATACAGACGAATCCTTCCTTTCGTCATTCTCTCCGCTGACCCAACTTTCCACAAATCAGTGATTTATGGTCCTTTTGCCTCAGCCCTAACTAATAAAACATAAAGAAAGGATTAACGAGTAACATGAGCAGCGTACTGTAGTAAATGGCAGGCCAATGCAGTAGTCGTCAGTAAGAAAACATTAACAGCAAAAACATATACAGTAATTTCCAGTTTTGAAGTTCTTTACAAACCATATCTGTGTTTTCAATTCATTTTTTTTTTCTCCTTTTTGTCATTACATGCCATATGAGAGGTCGGGATTACAAAAGGTACCTGAACAAATTGCTTGTATATTAGCATGCATAGCTGTTAGGTATTTACACTCTATGTACAGAGTTGGACTGTCGGAACAGAAAAGAAAGATTAACAATATTACAGGTTTCTTTCATGTTTTAATTGACATTTCCAGGATGGAGAACGGAAAAAAAAAACATCCTTATTCTGATGTGCAGAGTCATACAAGACATGCATGTAAAATGAAATGTCTGCTTGCCTGAAAGAAGAATATCTTTTGTTTTATTCTCTATCACTAAGTACGGGGTGTCTTTATTCTGCACTGGGCTACATTACTAACAAGTTGTTCTGCATTGCATAACACAGATGCTCTTTTTTTGTCCTCCTTTGTCTATATTGCACACCGGTCCCTGAACACAGGGGGACTTGAAAAGGTTAATTTACGATGTTAACTGTGCCGTGAAGGGAAAAGCAAATAGGAAAGAGCATGCACAGCACCAGAGAAGGACATTAAGCTGCAGCTACATCTTTCTCTTTCTCCTCCCCTCTATCTGACCACTGACAACTGTAGGGCCCCCCTGATGTGTACAGAGACACAGGGCTATCACCATCCATCACTGTGGACATACTGAAAGGATCTTTCAGCAGTGATCAGTCTGTAACCAGACACACTTCTGACACCTTTCCTTTTTAGTCCTGTGTTGTTCATAGCCACAGTAGGATGTCCATAGATGGAGAACGGACGTTTTTGAAAAAAGGAACAATAAAAAAAAAAAAACCTCATTATAAAGATCTAACACTCTGGTAATGCTGTCTTCAAACACACAAACCGGTGGTTCCCAAACTTTGTCTGCAGCGCCCCCCTTCGGTAAGTGGGACATCCACACATCAAAGCTATTGCTTTTAATCTCCATACAGATGGAAGGATGAAAAATCAGTGAAACTTGTTAAACAGTTGAAAAAAATATGTACAAAATAAAATGAATTTAAATCGCTGCCCCCTTTTTGCGCCATGCTACTCACTCAACAGCTCTGTGCCCCCTGGGGGGCCCGCCCCCCATTTTGGGAACCACTTCCTTGTACAACTTAATGTGAAGCTTTAAATTTATACTTGTACAATTCTGCTTTGACCAGAACCAGAATTCCCCCGTACAGCTCACATGGGATGCAACAAAGAAAGAAAACAAATTTATACTTGTACAATTCTGCTTTGGCCGGAACCAGGATGGAATACAACAAAGAAAGAAAAGAAAAAAGTCACCCTTGCAAATATTTCTTCTGCCTAATTTGGCTTCATATTTCCACAAAATATCAAATCACACATTGATATGTGTAAAAAAAACAACAACTTTGATTTTGGTGTGTACAGTATTGTGGTTATGACAAAACCTGACATTTACATTGTACCCAAGTTCAATACATACATATTGCTTTTGGTTTTTGGCAAAATGGAAGACATGGATATATCTGTACTTAGACAAGAGAATCTCAGATCAGGGATTAGTATCGTGTTATGGGGCGTTGCAGTCATTAACTCTATTGCTTATTTAGTAAGAATAACACCAGTATCACGTCGTCAACCCTCCACACTTGTACAGGTCCTTTGTCCACCCCTGGCTCATTTACACTCAACCTCTAATATGGGCAATCAGCAGCTCTATACTCTCACTGGGGCTCCATAAACACTTGATTTCATAGAACAAGCTTTGATAAAGGAGGGAGGTGACTGCCAGAGCATGTTAATGTGCTTTCCTATAAAGCTTATCTCTGACTGGGGTCATGAAGGCCAAGTGGCGAGGGGCTGATCGCCATAGCAATAAGACCCCAGAAGCCGTTACGGCAGCTTACGGCCCCTTTGACAATAACGGAGCCAACCATGGGCTACCTTTGGATAATCAAACCCCTCACCCAGGCCCATGTGGGAAATAATGTGGACATTTACAACAGTACAATTGAAATGAGGGGCGAGCACAAATTAACCTCTAGTAACAGAAGGGGCTGATTCTGATAGGAACCATAAATTTTTAATTGTCCAGCAGCAGCAGCAGTATTTTAAAAAGCATGTAAATACAAAATTATGAGCTGACCCACCATATTGGGACATGACCCCAATTGGAAATTAAGTTAAAGCAAAACGTTCCCACGAGAAATGAATGAATTATAAATGTTCCATTTTTTTTTTTTGTATTTAAAAGTGATTTTTTTCTGTTTGCAGTGTTTGCATATTGAGATGCATAATTATTATTTTCTTTCTATTTTTGTCAGGTACACAGTATGCGATGATACTGTATAATTTAGTGGACTAAAGACTGCAGCTTTGAAGAACACTTTGATAACATATGGTTATCCCCCTGCTGTTCCCCATTCGTTGCTCTGCGGGGGGGCCAGAATGGACGCATGTTTAACTTTTTGGACTCTACAAACTTCTCCCTTGTCTGAAACTAAAACATTACATCACGCTCACAGTTGGAAGGGCAGCAAACATCCTGGAATCTCCCGTTGAATGTTGTTTTTTTTTTTTTTTTTTACCCCAAGGACAATTCCCAAGAGAATTAGTCTCTCGTATTTAAGCAACCGTAGAGGAACTCAGCAGTCAGTGTTGCCTGTGTTTGTTTGTGTGCACCGCTGTGAGAAAATCTTCAGCCTCACATATTTTGTAAGGTTTAACTACATCAGAGTCGGTTTAAGTTAAACCTCAGTAACAAATGACAATGAAGGGAATCATTTTGTGGTCTTGAGGAAGGATTAGGAGATATTAGATTTCATTATTGTGACAGCCATTTTTTTTTGAGACACCAGTGACTTTGAGAAATTATACCCATGTGTTTAGACAAATAACAATGAACAACTGAACAATGTTGAGCCACACAATTAAACAAATATTTTTCATTGCAATATGAGCTGAGATTTTGCAACAACTTTGTATGGGCCCGATATTTTAAAAGAAAGATATAATATCTCCATTTAATTTTCATGACATTAACTGTGCGCTGGAATCTGTCACTTGATTGGACAACAGAATTTTATCTTTAAGTTAATTTATTGCTGCAATCTAAACTCTGATGGAGCGACGAGTCCATGTTCGTAACTTTGGTTTAAAAAAGATGAAAGTATAAAAAAGGAATTGTTTCATTAAAGCATCACCAAAAGCTCTGTAATGGCTTGGGGCTGTATTTCAGCAACACATGTCCAAATGTCCAGTTGACTACAGACTGCCACCTAGTGAGCAACACCTTAACACTGGCATTATCCTAGAGCCAATCAGTCAGCCTGAGGCCAGGGTTCCAGCTTCAGACATATTCACACCATTTCATGTCTTTGTGAAGTGAGTATTTTTGTAATGACAATAAGTCTGGCACAAAATCTCCAGTCTTTATAATAGTGTCATCATAATGTTTCAGAACAGACAAATTGGAATCCAGTTAAGCGCTTTCCCCCCGTCGTTAATTTTCTGTATTTTCTCTGGCTCAGGTGCAGCAGCATAAAATCAAGCTGTCAGAATCCAGACTGCACAGCTAAATACTACAGGCTGAAATGTCACCTGTCCAAGCCTCTGACAATTTATTACCCCCGCCGCTAACTCCCCCACTGTTTATTTATATAATTGCAACACTAGAATTTCAAGTCATCACCGGTAGAACATGGTCGGTCTGCAGGCTGTGTTAATCAGATTCTCTTGGTCCACCTTCAAATCTTCTCGGAGGCCAGTTTTATCTCAGAGGGCTCAAGCATATGTGGAGGCCAGAATGAAGTAGTAGTAAAGGCTTTAAAGGATCTAGTATTTATCCATGTCATTAGCTAGGTGACATAAGGAGGTCCCACCCACAGTCAGTCTGCGGTCTGACTGTGACCAAATTAAAATCCAAATGTTGTTTTTTTTTACATCTACGAAACTGTCGTTTTCTGATCTGATCAGAAAAGTCCACATAAATAATGATGATTTTTGGATTTTTTCTGTGTTCAATACAAAGTACACATGACGTATACAGTGTATCTTAGCTCTTAGGTTGATCTGGAGGTCAGAATTAGAGCAGAGCAGTTCAGACGGGGTGCCTCACTGTAATCCTTTCACCTTTGCCCCCTCTCTGCCCCGGGGCTCCCACCACGTCTTATTTGAGGTCATAGATAATCTTGACACCCACGAGACAGCGGGACGGAGTTTGTTTATGTTGGAGACTGAGAGAAAACAAGGAGAAACACTAGTAGGTGCTGTGTGTTCCAGAGCTGGTGTGTGACAGTGTCCTTTATCTGTAGTGTATCCACCATTATTCGATGGTAAAAAGCACAGTCTGTACCAATTCCCAGCTGCCACATATGAATGAGCCCCACTGGGTTTGAACGCGGGTTACAAGGACGCAGGGTGGGCTTAGGTTTGCAAGGACAAACAGTGGGAGGCATGTTGGGTTAGTTGGAGGAATTTTCCCACATATGGCCGCCATGACTAATTTGTATGTTGACTAGGAATTGGTGATTAAATGACTTATTGTGGTAAATTATCAGTGGAATATTTTATATTTTTCCAAAAGAAAAACTACTACTTACTAACTGTATCTGTGTGTTTAGACAGCTTTAATGTATTCAATCACATAAACAGGTTCATACAGCGAAATGAACCAACCCGTATATTTGACTTTTTTTTGTCAGACTAGGAAAGAAGCTACACTTGTATTGCCGTCACCAGATGGGCCACCTTTTACCTGTTGTCTGTCTCTCAGGTTGTTTTTCTTCCCTGGTGTCCTGCAACTGTGTTTGCTTTGTCATGTCTCTCTAAAGTGTCTCTGCTTCACTGGTCCACGGACATGTGCAGTACACACACGGTAACCAGTGATGACACTAATGTAGTGTTTAGTCAGGGCGACATGGACTTATTAAGCGTTTGAGCGAATGGGCTACGTTCTAATCAAATAAAGCGGAGATAAGTTAATAAGCTGTGTGCGCAACGGAGTAACCTACGTAGGAGTTATCCTGATTGATGGCGCTATTGACAGTTGTGAGCCTAGTTGTTTCAGTCGTCCAGAAGAAGTAACTGTGCCTGGCCTTTTATTGTAATTGGTTATAAAATTATAGACAACGCTAAATCTCCGCGTGTCTTCCTGGCTCTGACGACTTCACTCTGTAATACAGAAACTTCATGTCCGCATTAGCAGATCCTGTTAGCACAGGGAAAACTGAGTCACAAAAAAAGGGAACCTATTAGGGAGCACAAATAAATGAGACCGATTTAAGGGAGGCTGAGGAGGTAGAGTCCAGGGGACAGGGCCCAGCAGGGGGTGAATCTAAATTAGGAGAGCACCGTAGCATACCAGCCCCCGCCCCCTCCCTCCGTCCACATATCCATCATGTTAATATATCTATAGTGTGGCCCTCCTGGTAGTATATCTTTGACCTGTGATTACACTAACAGCTTATTGTTTACACAGTGAACAATCCCATTATGTGGACAATCTGTTTACACACAGTCTAAGTGTTTAGATTAGCAACGTGTTTGTGCTCACGTATGAATATATGTATTATGGCATGACAGAATGCATTAGTACATATATTCATGGGATTGGGTGTGTTTATATATTGTTAGATCAGGGTCTACAGAGGTGAACATTTCAAGACTTAAATGATTTCCAAGCAGCAGCATGAAATGGCCATTTATCTCATGTTGGACAAATATTCCAACCAGGACGGTGGAAAAAAAAAAAGAACCTGTAATGATTGAGCCACTAAGATCTGTATGACTAACTGTTTCTTAAGTGCTTAAGAAACAGGTTATTTAATGCACAAAAAAAGGTTAGCGGATACATGGACCAATTAGAAAAAAAATGTACATACATTTTGTGAAACATTTTGGATGGAAATCCGTATTCTCCTTCTCTTTCTCTGGTTGATCATACTTTTTGAGTCCTGCTACTTTCCCTCTTCTGCTCTCAGACTTTTCTGGCAGCACATTGACTCAGTGCAATTTGCAAATCCATTTGACATAAGATGAATACACAGCTGCTGGCAGGATGCCCCGTACCACTTTGTGTAGTGCCAATTAATTGGAGAGCCCCAGTTTGCCTTCCATTTTCTTCTTTTCTGCCCATGTTCAATGTGGCTGTGTTAAGTGTGTCATCGAAGGCTGGTTATGTGTCTCTTCAGGGAGTGTAAAAACTCATCTGTAGTATTTGGCTGACAAAGATGTTTTAAAGAGGATTAAGAAAAAAAAAACAAAAAAACTTCAGTCATTCAATCCATCACTTTCTGAAAATAAAGTGTGAGTCTGTAAAGCTGACCATGGCTTGCATTGTTTGAGAAAGTCAACCCACTGACTAGGCCTACCTGAACAATCGTTCTATAAATAATGTTCATGTTCCATCTACAAGTCAACATGCAAAGTACCGAATCAGGAACTATACATTGTGTGTATACTGTACATATATACAGCAACATGTCGGAGTGAAGTTGTGTGCATTCGAGTTCATCTGTATGCATGCGCTTGGATTTTTTTTTTTTTCCTTGCCCGGTAACATAAGTTCATCAGTACCGGATACTGATGACCGACTTCCTCATGTCTGTTTGACCCTTTCACGGTGCAAACAGCAAAGCAGTCACTGAAAAGTTCCAGAATCCTTGATGCACAATATACACTGAGAGGTAGAGGACAACGATGGAGACGAGGCGTTCAACAAGCTAGTGTTATCCCTGTTGTCCATGCAGAGGTTTGTTTCTTTCTTTCTTTCCTCTCGGGTGAGAGGGCAACCTTTGAGCTTAACTGTCCGCTGACCCTGGGTCCGTTTCTTGTCTCCATAGTCCATAGAAATATCAACTCGGAGTCCGTACGCCTGCACTGCAATCAGCTATGTCCATGTGCAGGCTCAAGATTTGAGCGCTATTTCAAACCATGCGAAGCGAAGAGTATCCTCCCAGGGGTTGCGTCTATAGGAGTCCCAACTCAAACCCCGAGAAGGGAGGAAGGTATTTATTGCAAGGGAAAGAATATGTCAAGAGTTGCTGGTAAGAAAGGCTAAAATACGATATTCCTAAATAAAATTTTCAAATCTTAAAAATAATGCCTAGAAATACCGAATAGAAGACATGGCTTGGGTGAGCAACCTGTTTTCACACTTCCACTTTTAACCGTTGGTTTACCTGTTGTACCGAGTGGTGAATTCATTTTTCTAAAGATTTTCAAATGTCACATTATCTATAACTTTTTACCTTTAAGCTTCTAGTCGTATGCAGAGGAAGATATTCTGATTCTTCGGACTATTTCTTAACTACCAGAAAGAACTTCAGGTGTTCTAAATTCTTAAAAAGTCTGATATATCGACTGGTTGGAATTTTAAATAGGAGAGTGGAAAATGTACACTACGGTCTGCTCCACACTGTTGTCTCCATACGTTTCAATTCACATGTCCGACAGTCGAGTGGACACAGAGGAGGAAGACTAGGCCATTTTGTAACGATAAGAGGTGCTACACTTTTTACAGTCTAACTGACTCCAAAGAGTAAAGAAATGATATGAAAATGATGCATACACGTTGGACTGACTTTATATGGAAAACCATAGCACACGATTCACAGGCATAAAGGTTTATGAAGTTGGTGAAAGTGACTTGATATGCTTCCTTAATTAGGAATAAGTATAGGTGTCGTAATGTGTTCTATTTACAGGAGCATGCAATGTTGATCTTATCACCATACAGAAAATAGTTCCTCATCGTCTGCCGTTGTCGATGCTGTGAGTCTGTCTACTTTAGTTTTTGTTTTGTTTTTTGTTTTGTTATTTTTTTTATATTTTTTTTCTTTTCTGTACGTTTTCTATAGAAAAAAGCTGGGTGTAAAACACCAAGGAGGGGAACAGGACTGTAGTACGAGGCTTTCAGGTGTTTCACTGTTGAGATCTTGAGGAATTTTTGCAGGCGTTGTATTTTGTCCTTAGCTGAAGTCTTTGTTGAATGTTGTGCTTTGTAGGTGCCTCTGTGTGATTCGTCAGCCGCTCTGATGTCATCACTGTTCGTCTGATAGGTTATCTGCACAGGGAAAAAATAAACAGAAAAGGCACACTATTAGCACAATATATAATAATGCCTGTGCATATATTAAAGCTGAACTGATCATCCAAAGCTTGTATCCTTACACCGATTGTTTTAGTACAATACAATGTATTCCGTATTCACAGATAGGTGCACTTTGCTTTGGTCACCACCAGCAGTTTTGCAGATGCAAAGCGAAAATTGTTGAAAAAAATATTAACGTCAAAATAACAAGATTGTACTGTGTTGAAGGCCATCAAGTAAAGATCCAGACCTTACAATATCTAGCTCAAAATGTTTGAAACTAAAATAACAGTATTAACACACCACACCGTGCACTGGTCTGTCCATTGTACAGTATACATTGGAAACAGCTAATGGGTCTATGGTGGCACACAGTGACTCACAGTGTTCGTGGGGGGAGGAGCTCAGCTGTCTCCAGAGCCGGAGTAAATACAAAGGCAGTGTGACCACCCCGTGAGTGTACAATTTGGAGCCTACTTGGCTGGAATTCAGAGTGACAGTGGCGTCAGCATAAGCGGGAGGCGACTCTTTAATCATCTTTAATTAAGGCCAAGTAGAGATGAGTTAAACTCACGGAGAGCATGGTTCGGTTTCCTCCATGTCCACATCCCTTTTCATTAATCTCCTCTCATGCTTAAGTCTATTAAAAATCATTCTTGAACCTGAACTACATTTTTTTTTCTTACTTGCTCTTGTAATGAAAAATCTACCCCCCATTAGGATCAATGCTGTTTAACCTGTAGTCTTTATTAGGTCCTCAGGAGATGATGTTTACCTTGATGTAGGCAACAAGCAAAAACACTTGCTGTCCAACATTGCTGTTCTACATGCTACGGTTGCTACAGTTGCTGCTGCAGCCCGGCAACTACTGCTGTCAAACTGTTCTGTCCTCTGTTGTCAGTTGGTAAAGAAGTGCCACAAACCCCTACTCTGCTCCTGCAGCGTCTTGAATTACACTCATAATGTGAAGCTTTAACTACTTCAGCCTGACACGTGAGTCATGCAGCCAGAACGAGCAATCACATGGGACATTATCTTCCTATAGTGGACTATAGTAGTCACAACAGTGGCTGAACTAGTAACATGACCCTGTAGTAGCTGTTCCTACCCAGCACCCATTGTAAATGGTCATAAACAACACATTATTGACATTGCATCTCATCACTTGGAAAATTGCAGTTGCTCAACGCCATTGGTTGCAGTACACGGCCCACTCAGTTGTAAATACATTATTCAACAATGTTATCCAAATATTTAATTCATGACAGCGTCATAATTTTAGGTACAGAGAGGCCAAAGGTTAATTAAGCTCTAAGATATTCTACATAATATATTTTAAAAATATATTGTTATGCTGCATTAAACTGAAGCACTAGAACTATATGTGGGTGGGCTATTCATTTCACTCATTGAAGCACTAGAACTATATGTGGGTGGGTGGGCTATTCATTCCACTCATGTGAAATATTAGTAGTGAATATTTCCTAAAAATAGAAAGAAATATATATTGACTTATTCCGGATGTATTTCAACAACATGCAGAGTTTTCTATATGTATCAGCACATTATATATACATAAAACCACCACATATATAATTCATGTGGTGATCATAAAGTCCTCCGCAACCCGTTTAGGTGTTTCGAAGTCTGGAAATGCCTCACATAAAGGGACGAATCAATGCGAGTCTAATGTCTGTTTGGTCCATCTTTCGCGCAGCAGTGAGCCATATTCCATGAGTTTATATCCTACAACTGAGATCACAGCTATTGCCCCGGGGCGCGCTACTTCCACTGTTTGAGAACAGCAGCTGTCAAGACTTTAGCCCCGTGCTCCCAGGATGTGTGCTAACAGATTATGTGATGGGAATGCAGGACCGTTTGGACCTCCAAAGCCAGGTGTTAGCACTTCAGATCACTGCCTCATCAATAATTGACAGAGGCAAACCAATCAGAACAATTTGCTCCCCACAGCGAAGTGCTTCGGCAGTCTAACACCAGTGAATCATTAATGAGGCAATTAGATGAAATGGTTAGACAGTTAGCCCGTTATGGCAGCGCTCCTGTGATGCAACTGCGACAGGGCCTTTACACAGACGCTGCACACGGCTGAGCGACGTGCTCCAACACAACAGTAAAAAAAGCAGTGCTGAATGGCACAACGGCGCCGGCAGTTAGAGCCAAGCCTCCGTAAGATTGGGGTGTATCGGCGATGCCAGCTCTCCATCTGTTGACCACAGCTCAGAGGGCCAATAATGGGAACAAACCCAATTGGCCATTACCATGGGAGATTGACCTTTATTGGTTGTTGTAACCATTGCACAGACCCACAGAAGACATCTCCCGGGTGATTCAAGTGTGGGAGAGCCTTTATGGACATGGATAAAATCGACCTCGGTGACATCACTCAAACATGGGGAAAAAGCAACAACAACAATAACAGCAAAGATGGAGTTTGCCTTTGAAGAGCAGAGATCCAGGATTGTTGTTTGAGAGGAAAATCAAAGCCCCCAGAGGGCGGCTCACAAAGCCTCATTGATTGGCCATATTGGAACCATTTCATAGTTTGTCGATGCTCCTCTGCCCGCTCTCCTCTCAGCCCTGGGTCCACTACAGGCTCAATTAAACCAGCAACCTTGATCTCAGCAACACACCATCTAAACACTACATAATACACAGATTATACCCAAAACACACATCACACACGGCCTTTTATCTGCAGTTAATGTTTTTTTTTTTTCTTTGCTCAGGATGCGTTTTTATTTAGATAAGACTTAAAAAAATAAATAATAAAATGAGCCTAATTTACAGCTTTTTCTTTTTTTTCCCGAGAGAATAAAAGAAGGAAAGAAAGGAGCAACGAAAGAAAAGAAAGAAGCCATTTGTGTTGAAACTTTCCTTTTCCAATCACACTAATGCATTCTCAGTCTCAGTATATCTCTGTGATTGAGAGATTTGAAATGAGAGTGAAAAAGCAAGAGAAAGGAGGGGGTGGATGCATACTTAAATCATATGGCTCCATGAGTGTAATTGGGAGCAAATAAAGTCGAAGTCCACAGCAGGTTTTTTTTCACTCTAAAAGGTGATTGTGTCCAGTTTAAGTCACGGAGCACTAGTTTATTTACTCGGCTAAACAAAGACACCAGAGACACAGCAGTGAAAGGTTCAATCACACGATTTCACATTTTCTTATTAGTATTATTTAACCCTCGCTTTGCTGTTAAGACACCAGAGACACAGCAGTGAAAGGGTCAATCAGACGATTTCTTTATTAGTATTATTTAACCTCGCTTTGCTGTTATTATACTTGAATTAATTAATAATTTTAAGAATATTTTTATAACATTATAAACAGTAAACATTTACAAGTAACTTATTTATATTATTTCTTATTTATAAAAAAAAGTTGATCCCAATATAGTGAAAATCAATAACAGGAAAAATATTCACTATATATAATTCCATGTAATATAAATATTAAAATATTCTCTATGTTTCTAAATCCTGTTTTATTAATTAAATTTTTTAATTTATTTTTTTTCATAAAAACAAACCATTGGATTCTCGTTTTAGACACATATTTATACCCACCTACAAAAATATCCTAAAATTGTAAAATTATTTCATTTACCATAATTACCCAGGTTTATGCAGGTTTTGTCTTTTTATTTTATGAATACAAATATCAAAGTCAAATTGTTACCACTATCAACTGCCCAGTATCACATTGAATCATTTAACAGGACTTTTTTTTTTAATATCAAGATAAATAAAATATAAAACAACCATTTATTGAAATAGTGAAGAGTAAAAGACTGATTTATTTCGGCTGGAGAAAAGAACAAATGCAACAAATTTGCACCTGAGTCCCTTCACATCACAGGCCACACTGTAGAAATCATGGGTTCAGTTCTCAGACACTTCTTCTGTCACGTTTCGTAGCAGATTACAGCATCTGTCAGTGAAGAGGTTTACGGTGCCTCTGTAATTTAATACACTTGCAATGTACAGAAAGAATAAATTAGCTGCGCAGATCTGATTTATTATTTGCAACACTTTGTCTAAATAAATTCTGGTGTTTTGCCCTTCAGCGCATTTACTTTGGCAAATAATTTTTATGGTGATAGCTTTATCACATAAACACATCGGCCCAAAAATATTTAGGCTGCATTAACACAGATGAATAAATCTGTCGAGAGTCATGGGATCGACGGGGAAACATAATTTTTGTGAAAACAAATCGCGTGCTTCTCTCGTTCTTCAAAACAGACCTGCATTAATATCCTGTGATGGATTTCTTTTTTTTTTTTTTTTCTTAGAGCATCAAAACATTTTTTTAACACCTACTCTATATAGCATTCTGTGTTTGTCTCTGGCTGTGTGTTTATAACCCTGAGAGAGAAAAAGTAAATTGATAAGTAGCTGGGTCAAGCCGTGTCGCTGATATTGACACTTGTGCAGATATCGTAGACAGCTAGTCTCTGTTTAATGATTGCTATTCACTTTTATGGTCCTCTCAGGACGCCATCTTCAATAAATATTTGCAAACAGGAAATTTGCAGAGTGACTTGAGAGAGTCGTAACCCTGGCACCTATGTGTTTTGAGATTAACATGTAATTAAAATAGTAAATCAATATTTATTAAGTAGCATTACAAAACAAATGAGAACAGTGTCAGGTCACATTATGAGTGAGTGGCTGTGAGAGAGAGAGCTAATGAGCGCCACTGTGAAAATAAACAAAACAGGCGTCGTCTTCGACAGACGTTGTCAAAGTGCGGCCTGGGGGCCCCACGTGGCACTTGGTCCACATGGTGGGTTGCATTTCTTTTTTTTAAATTTTTTTAAGATTTCTATTTTTAAGTTAAACACATTTGTGGTATTTTAAATATTGTCAGAGATACATCCTATTTTTAACCATTTTGGTGCTAATTTATAGGATGTTTTTGGTAATGATGAAACAAATCTTTCCTTATA